GAAAGCACCTTTTAAACGTGAGCTAACTCACTTGCTTTTGAAAATTCTTGAAATTGAGGAGATGAATGTTGACTTGCGCTACCTTGACCTTTCTAGCTTATATTTGTATTTCAACTGATTAGCTTTCTCTTTGACCTGTTAAAAACTCCCTTGTGTGACTGACTCAGTTAAAACCTTTAACATGATTATCACTACTATTATTTATTTTTATTTGCTCATTTATTTATTTATTTCATTGTTGCGTGTGTGTGTGTGTATGTATGAGAGCCTGTACAGTGTCTGTTTAGGTAGCCCGCCTAGAATAGCTTTGCTAACTGTGGGCTACAAAAGCCTTTATTTCTTTAATTTTAAAAAATAAAGTCAATGTTGTTGTTGTTGTTGTTGTAGTGTAAAGAGTTAACAGTGTTGTGCTTTATCATCTAAACAGTATACAAGTGCGGGTTACCCGTAAACTTCTGCGCTAAGATCTGATTAAGAAGTTTAATTTTCAAAAGAGTAAAAATCACAAGAGATTTAAATATTTTGCCATTGAAAAGTAGTGCACCAGCTATATACGTGTATAGTATTAACCAAAATTATGACTGTCACACAGGTTCTGTTTTGAGATTCCAAAGTCTTCCTCTATGCCTTTGAAAATGATCTTTGAATTTGTGAAACATGTTCAGCCACCAACATTTTGAATCCTTCCACAGTCACTTACCTGTGATCTACAAGAACTGTTGTAAAAGGGTTCTCTCCTCTATCTACCATCTCTTGGTGAACAGTTTGAACAGATAAGCTACACTAAAAGGCATCAGTAACTTATCCCAATTTTTTTGCCCTAACCATTCACATGTATAATCCCCATCAAAAAGCTCTCACATTATCTAATCCTGTTTAAATGTCGGGATTTAGGTTGATATCTCTTCAGTTCTCACCTCAAACCAAATGTACAAGTGGTACTGGCTTAGTTGCAGCATCAATCCCCATTTGGACAAAAATGAGTAACCCTTTCATTCCCTAGATCTCATTCATAGCTCTCCTTACTGTCTGTTATACAATGCATATCATGTTAGTTCAGAGAATTTATTATTTTGATCCACCAACAATCCCCTCATTGATATTTTCCTTTCTTCTCATCACTTGTCTGCTTGATATTCTATTGATACAGTAAGGAGAAATTCTGTCTTGGTCACTGGTGTGAGTGAAAGGGTTAAGAAGAAGTGAGGGAGTTGGGGGAGGATAACATGTGACATGTTCTCCCTTGAGTTAGCATAGAGAAAGTACAAAAACCTTTTGGCCAGGACTGAGTGAACTGAAGTTTTTTTTTGTGTGTTTTGAATCTTTGTTCAGCTTTTTATCTTTTCTTATTGTGAATTAGCAAGAGGCAATAGATCCAGAAGATACAAAAAGGAAAGTCAATGAAATCCTACAGAAAGTCAAAAGTCAAAGTGCAATGCCCAGTCAGATGGAAGGCAATTTTTCTTCATTGGTTAACAGTGCTGAAGAATCACCGCAAGAGGATGATAATGAATTGGATACTGAAGAAACAGTGAATGTTACGTCAGACAATATATTGATGGTTACATCAAGTAATTCTTCAGCTGAATCAACTTTTCTTCCTGTGCATGTCAATGGAGTTCATGCTTCTGGTTCAGATGATTTGTGTAGTTTATCAACAAGTGATGATGATAATGAGAAGCATGTGTCATTTACAGTTCCTTTAATAACAGTTGAACAAGAGATAACAGATGCAATCACTGCAAATAGAATGACAAGTAATGAACATGAAAAGGAGAACATTTCAAATCAATTTAATGATGGGTCATCAACAATACAGGAATGTAATGTCAATGGGACAGAGCAGGTGTCTGAAAATGATGAACTGCTTGACACAGAAAACACTGTGGTAAGTTGGGTGTCCTTGTAACAGTTCGATTTAAAATTTAACAAAAACAGAACATAAAATGCACACATCTTAAAAGCAACAAGAGATTAGTTAATTTTTGAATTATGTCTACTTGCACAGTTTATGTTTGTCTGGAAAGAATTTTAATTTATTTTGTTTTATTTTATCACTTGGAAATGCATGAAGGCATAAATGAAGAATTGTGGGAGACCTTTTGCTGCTAATTGTTTTCTGTAATTGTGTTTAAAAAGATAAGACATAACAGTTTTATTGTACAGGGTACTGTCATACTCAGATTAATTCCTTAACTTCCAAATACTGAAAAATACACATATTTCTCCTAGCTATGTACTAATATTCATTTGTCTGCTAATCTGGAGAATTTGTTGGGATATCTTAAAACAATACCCAATGTCAATATTTAATGCAGTACACTAAGATTTAACTTGAGCTTGAATTAGTAAGTTTACTGAAGAGGCAAGAGCCTGCTTCAATCAAACATGACTCAGCATTCAATTTAACTACTCCTCAATACACATGTGAAGGAGACGAAGTAAATTCCTATGATGATAATAATAATAATAATAATAATAATAATAATAATAATATTGAATATTCATACAGAATAGCCCTTCAGTGCAGGAGCACTGTTATCAATGGGGTCCTGAAAAACAACCTTAACAAGATTATACCAATATATAAGAAAAGCAAAAATAAATGTGAAGATATTACAAGACAAAAACTTATCGAATGCAAAGGGAATATACAAGACACAAAACACTTGACAAAAGAATGGTTTGCATCAATGCAAAAAAGGCACACTGCTAAAAGGGGCATGGAATGATACATTGAGGGTGTTGTAAGTTGCATAAAGTGCAAAAATAACTGTGTAAAAACAAGAAGAAGTGTTAATTAATGGTGCAGAAATTTGAGACTTGTAGGTAAGAAGACAAAAAAAAAATACACATCGGCCACAACATTTACTTAAGACTGAGTAGATTTTTCCCCCCTTTTTTTTTGTATCTACAAGAGGCATGTTCCTGAAACCAGGCAAGACATCACTTTTAGTAAGTCTGGATCTCTAAGCAAAGATTTAAATGGTGTGGACGATGAGGAGGTGCTCTGGAAACAAATAGAGGCTACCATGAAAACAAGGCAGTCCTATGCAATTGAGACCCTTGAGAATCTGGGTGTGGTTTCTGAAGGTGACGATGATGAAGACAGTGAAGAAGGACAGCTGTGGAAAATAGTTGAAGGAAAGGCAAAGCTAGCAGAGGTTGTGTGACAATAAAACTAGAAACATAAGACTCAACAGTAATGATGGGATGCAAGATGTCCCAAGTTTTTTTTAATGTAACTTAAAGGAGCTTTGTTACCATAAATATGGGTTGTACAAATAGTAATTTTAAAGCAAAAAGTTTTGAATTCTTCCAAGTTGGTCTCAAGCCCTGTCTTTACAAAAACAAAAAAAAAAGGCACAAAATTCTATTAAACTGAGAGGTAAAAAAATGTCAATTATGTTTGATCAACCTCAAAGAAATACCAGGAGAAGGGAATTAAATTTATTATTTTCACCATTTCTCCAGCTGTAGCCAAACACCTGTGAAAACTGAGAAGATTGTTGCATCATTTCTGAGACTTAGATCCCCTTGTTCTGTTTAAGTATCACTTAATTTTTTTTTACAAGTTTTATTCTCTTGTTACAGCTTGTCTGTGGTTTTATTTTATCTTTAACACTCCCAATTCATGCCAAGAATGATAAAAACTGGGTGAACAAACCTTAGTGTGCTACATTGCACAATTATAGTAAAAAGCAATATTTGTATCAAAACTTCAGAACCTATAGCATGAGTGGAAAAGTATCAGTAAAAGCTTCAACTATTATTTATGATTAAGGATTATTTACAATTGTTGGAAACAAACATTAAGCTATTTAGTAATAATTAACCGAATCCAATACTAAAAGGTGCAACCAAGAATATTTCAGTGAGTTTCTTTGTCGCGTTTTAGTTTTTAGTTTGAAGTTAGGAAGTTGGTTCTGCCTCAGTATAATCCAAACAAACCAGAAAATACTGGCTTCCTAGTAAAACCTTTTTATTTTTGCCATACATAGAATTTGCAACCTCACATGATTATTCTTGGATATTGGTTAATTTACTGTAAAAGTATTTAAGTTATCTAAGTTGTGGTGTTGATTGTGGCTCTTTGACCCTTTCACTCTCAAGATCTCCTTAGTAATTCTCCTTACTCTCTGTTATACAATTCTTGTAATGTTAGTTTGGAGAATTTGGCATTGGATCAACTGATGATCCCCTTGCTCACATTTTTCTTTATTCTCATCACTTGTTTGCTTGATATTGTGTTGAAGTTGTAAGGAGAAATTCTGTCTTGATCACTCATGGGAGTGAAAGAGTTCAGTAATTAAATACTGCAACTTTGTTAGGGATATATTTTGATAAAAGAGGCAGAAAATGAGGTATGTCTCTGGCTTATCCTATGAATTGTGTTAATTGAAGGGCATCTAGTCCAGTTTCAATATATGGTGAATATTGCAAACATTTTTAAGACTCCTGAAAATCTTTACAGCACATGCAGTTTTGATATTGTATTTATTGTGCTGCAGGCAGCGAGTTTCACATTATGACCCTGTCGAGGGGTACGAATGACATCATTCTCTAATGCGCAGAGAAAAAAATAATTTCAATGAGAAGTTAACTCTTTTAACTCCCAGAAGTGATTAACATGTAACTTCTCCCAATAATACCTATACATTATCAAGTAAACAGGTAATAAGAAAACTCAAACTTATCAGGTAGAAGTTGTTGTCTTGATCGGACAGCAAATTCTCATAACTAATTTCCAAGGAAATGTGTAGCAGCTAGAGGGGAGAATTAACAATCAGATCTTGGATGTTAAAAGGGTTAACTCATTTTCTCAAGCATAGCTTTGAAATCAGGAGCCTGGTAGTAGGTCAATTTCCAGGAGTCTGCAAGCTGCCCTGTATGAGGCAAAAAAAATTTTTGATTCTGGGTAACTTATTTTTATACCTAAATCTTCCATGAATTTCCTTTTCTGTTTTTTTTTGTTTTTTTTTAGTTCGTTTTGTTAATTTTTTGTTTTTTGTTTGCTTCTTCGTTTGTCATTTGTTCTTGTTAGCATTTGTCAATGACAAAAATTAAGGAGGAATGATAACAGTAAAGTCTAATGCATTTGAAGGAAACTCTTTCACACAGTATTTTTCTTGTTGATAAATACAGCAATAACGTAGTCCTAGGAATGGAAGGGGGGAAAAAACAAGTAAGAAAGTAATGGTACATTTGTTTGTGTGTGTTACTCTGTATTATCCAAAAAGGTGAAATCTAATTAGGCTTTGCATGATGCTTAGCGGGAAATATCAAGGCGTAGATTGATTAAGAGCTAAGCGCGGATGTGTGCGAGATGTTTGAAGAGCACGAGAGAAGCGTTTGAGCTGCTCGAGGCGCAGCAGGACTTGGGCCTCAGGATTAGGGGTTCGGGATATGGGATATGGTTTACGAGATTAGGGGTTCGGGATATGGGATATGGTTTACGAGATTCGGGATATGGGATATGGTCTACGAGATTCGAGCTTCGAAAATCAGGATTCGGAATGAGAGAACAGGGCCGCGGAATGCGGGAATAGGGGTCCTGCAGGTCTAGTTCTGGGTCAGGGTTCGAGTTCGGTGTAAGGTTAGGATTTAGACTTAGCCTCAGCATATAAGGCGTAACGTAAAGGATTTGGGTCGGGAATGAGAATTACCTTTTTAGGGTTGAGGGTTTGGTTTAGGGACCCTACTCTTTTGTGCTGAAGAGTCCATTTTGTTCTTCGCCCTCAATGCGTCAAGATGTACTCTCACTTCACCTCTGATATTGCATTGAATGCGGAATAGTGTTCGCCTGCACAGTTGGACGTTTACTTCGTTACACCATAGTTAATGGAGGGGGACTGGCTGTCCCCCTCCAATAACTATGGTTACACGACGTATCCTTTTTGCCAGCTTACCTGAATTTCAAAGAGCAATTTTATTGTTAGAGCTCTCTTCAGCTTTTGTGCATTTTCTTATCATTCCGCGCGGGCACACATAGCTTATTCAACTCGTTGAATCGCACTTAAACTGGCCTACGAAATGCGCGTCGTACAAGACGCTTATAATACGTCATTGGCGAAACTGGGTGACTTTGACCACTATCATGGAATGACACTAGTAGAAGCGATGTCCTTGACCGCAATGAGCTTCGTTATATGTATGATTGGGACACTCTCGAATGTTCTCTTGACGATCGCTGTCCTTCTGACGAGACAGCAGCGAGAGAGATGTACAGCGGTTCTGTTGATTAGCATGTCGGTGACAGACACTATCAGCTGTGCAGTATACGAACCCATGTTTTTCTACGATCCAGTGCTGTTACGGGGAAGGTCCACTTCAAACTTGGATTCTGCCTTCTCTTGGCATCGTTGAACGCTTCGTCAACATCTTCTATCCTTACCAGTATACTGCCTTGACGAATACGAGGTTCGTTGTTCTGTCTGTGTTCTTCACTCAATGGTTCATTACTATACTGCTGACCTTACTGAGCCTGCTGACAAACACACCCGTTTTCAGCACAGTTTACATCGCAGTCATCACCATCGGCCTCGCCTCTCTCCACATTTCCATTGTGTTGCGCAGCCAAGAAACAAGAGCGGCGGATTGTCCGTTAGTACCCCCCCTGCTGTGCAGCAAGTCTTTTTCATCTGGAACAAGTAACAACAGTGATTTCCATCACACTGGTAGCCACTCTGCTATGTTGGGCGCCCATTATGATCCTACCCACCGTGTTGCCGCCAAGTTCGCCGTCTTTCAAGGGAGCCATAAAAGTCACCCTAGCTTTCACGACGCTGAGTGCTGTTGCAAATCCTTTCATATTCTTCTGGAGGCTGAAGGACTTTCGAGATGCTCTTGTTGCCTGTTTGCACGAAGTGCACAAAGTTTTGCATCGTGCCCGAGAATCTAATTAATGTTGCCAAACCGTCGACATTACCGTAAACGCGGCCCTAATTTATCCCCCTCCCCCCGCCCGAATTTCTGACCCTTTCAGTTCCCTTGTTGAAACTCAGCCTTTTTTTCTAAACGTCGTCCAACTTTTAAACGGAATGAAATTCTCTGGTTGAGGAACCCAAAAACTGTAAACAGGAAACCACTGAAGACCTTCAAATACAAGCATAATCATTTGTACGGACAGCATAATTATTTTACCCAGTGTTTTAACTTTAGAGTTTTCAGCCAGGGAAAGGGTGGAGGAGAGGTATTAGAACGTGTATAGTGTTCAAAAACTCTGACTCAGTAACATGAGTTCAAGTAAAATTCGTGCGTCGCATTCATTCTTCGCTTAGTTTCTGCTTGCCAAAGTTTCCAACTTTTTTTATCACATTATGCATGTAATCTTTGTAGCTTGAACGACTGAAAAGCTTTTTTCATTTTATAACAAGTTCGTTTATATTGGGCCAAGTCATATATGATTTTGATCGCCACTACGTCTTAAACGTGCAAGATTCAAACCGTAGGCTTGCTGGTTAATGCGCAAGACTACGGATCGAGAAGCAAGGTTCGGCCCTAACTGGGCCATTGTGCTGTGTTCTTGTGACAGCAGTTTTCAATTGAGTATCAAAAATGATCCTGGAATGCTTTGCTTTTGCTTTACTTCGCACTGTGATTGGTCTACACCACCATCGCAACCAGTCACATGCAAAACCAAAACCAATCGCAACTTGGTCACCCGTGTTTTCTCGCGCTTTTAAAAGTTTGTTTATTTTTCGGTTTGTCTTTACGTTGTCATTGGCTCTTCTTTTTTCTTTGAGGTGATTGGCTGTTACTATTATTTTGGTTTTGGTATTTCAAGTCTAGCAGCAGTAGAGATACTCCGCGTCAATTCAGTCAGTCGTATGTTCACATCCTCTTCCTTGAAGCTGTCATTTTGATCAAGGCACAATAACATGAAATGACGTGACACCAACGTGGTCGATGTAATGCAAGACAACCTTTTCCTCTCAGGCTGAGAAAACTTACTTTACTCAAGCGCAAATGATTTACCCCAGAGGGTTGAGGGGTACGGAAAGCTGGTTCATTTATGCAATTAGATGATTAGTCTCCTTCACTCCCGGAGGGGGGGGTACTCCCTTATAAGGGCTTAATGGGGACGTGCGGCCAGGCAGGGTATGTTTTTCGAGATTTTTGTCTTAAACAGGGTATCCAATTTATCATTTTTTGTCTTAATCAGGGTATCGATTTATCAATTTTTGTCTTAAACAGGATATCTTTTCTTGGAAGATAAACAGCAAAATTTTTACAAGCTCTAATTTTAATTAACATTGAATTCCGTTGATTTTGGCATTGATACCAGGCACATCAAATGTCTTAAACAGGATATCAAAAATGAAAGAAAGCAAGTCTCAAGCACTCTAAACAACAAACGTGTCTAGTTACAAAAACCGATTTCTAGGGTTCGGCAACGGACACTTATCTTAGTGCAAATGGAGCGACGTTGGCTAGAGGCTTTCCATATATATTTACAGACGGTCATACCGTTTGTGGGCTCCCTGCGGAAACACACCTGAAATTGTTAACCCGCTCGAGCGACGTGTAGCAATAGGTCAATCGTTAATACCCCGATCTATAGACTTAGCTACTTCTTGATATTTGTGGCTTTTGTGCGTTCAGAGTGTTACACGCTTTTCTATAAAACTTCGCAAGGAATAAAAGTCATTATCAAAAACTGGGTCATTGGATAATGCAATTCAAGACTTTTTATTGGCTCAGCCATTATGGTATATGAGCCAATATACCATAATCTAATTTCTGTATATTGTTAAATCCGGTTTCTTCTCACAAAATAACGTCGAGAAGATTTGTCTAATAGTTTGGGATAATTGTTAATTATCAGAGAATGTACGCCAAGTGCGTGGTACGCAGTAATGTAATTGAT